TAATTATATCTATTTTATATGAAAAAAATTAATAATTAATATGTGTATGCCCACTTTAATTCGCATAAAGATGGACAATGTGAAACCGACAATATCCTATCTAACCTAAACTATTCTTGTACGAATGGGAAGAAATTAATCGTCCGCTTACCACATTGAGGCGATTGGTAGCTCCTACCACTATCAAGACAATCAATTACATACACACACCCAACTAAATTGACTAAACAAAATTAAATTGAGGGTTAAGTATATAAATAATATTCGATTATAAGGTATTATTTTATTAAATTATTCTAGTACTATTAAAAGTTATAAAATGATCTTATGACTATAGAGTGTTGCTTTGTTGAGTCACTCGACTATCAAAAGTTAAAAAATGGTTATTCGACTATTCATTATATTCCAAATTCGTTTTTTCTATTAAAAAATTGAATGTTGTCTAAGTTGAACGTTAACATGATGATTTGGATGCGATAATCTTATGAGATTCTGTAATTAGATTTTATCATATCACAGTCAACAAGATAACGTTCAGCTCAGAATATCGCCATTTTTTAGCATAAAAGGACGAGTTTGGAACATAATGAATAGTCGTCTGACCATTTTGTAACTTTTGAAAGTCGAGGGATTGAACAAAGCAACACTATATATTTAGAGGACTATTTTGTAACTTTTAATAGTAGATGATCTTAATAAAGCAATACCCTATAGTTAGAGGATCATTATTGTACTCCACCCTTAAATTAATTGAATCGATGTGTTATATTTAGCATTCATATTTTATTTAATTATTTTAATAAAATTGAATTTTTAAGAGTTGAGTTAAATTAAATCAAATAAGTTTATTTGAGTTAAATTTTAAAAAATAAGAGCATATATAATTTTAAAATTAACATATATTTTTAGATTTTTTATGTAGTTTCTACTAATAATATGTTTTTGCATTCCCTGAAACTTTATAAGTTTATTTCTTATTAAAATTTTAGAAATTTACCTTCTAACGTAAAATCACGTGCTCGTCTCTATTGAGAATTAAATATTAGAGAAAATAACCTCAGTGACCAAAAATCCCAGATAATATACGATTTTGATCAACTTTTTTTGGATTTACGAAAATGACCAACAAAATCGCAATGCGATCTCTAATTCGTGTTGCGATCTCCACTATCGCAAATTCGCGTTGCATTTCGCGTTGCGATAATTGAAAATCGCGTTGCGATTTTCCATTTCGCGTTGTGATTTTCCAGTTCGCGTTGCGATAGTTGAAAATCGCGTTGCGATTTTCCGGTTCGCGTTGCGATAGTCTACAGTTGTCGTTGCGATAGTCTACAGTTGTCGTTGCGATTTTCTAAATTCGTATTTTTTATTTTTTTTATAAATTTTTGGAGATATTTTGTGTTTTTTAAATTAAGATTACTTTGAGTTTTTTTAGGGATAATTTGTTAAATTTTAAAATCAACAATGATCCAATAAGTGTATACATAATACACTAATTTATTATTGTTTTTGGATATTCAAATTGTATAAGTTGAACTCGACTTGAACAAATTTTTTTAGGATGATTTTAAAAAAAATAACTCGATTCTAATTTAAATTTAACTTATTTCGGTTTTTCGAATCAAATTGATTTTTACTCGTCTCGAACTATAGCATGTAATTTTTTTTAATCAAATTAACTATAGGTTGAAGTGGAATTATGTACTCACCAAACAAATGTCAAAAGTGTATCCAATTTTACTATCCCACCACACTTGAGGAGCACTTGATTTATTCAAGGTGGGCCCCTTTTAATTTGTCCAACTGGGTCCCAAATTAATTTCAACCGCTAAAATAAATTCTAGGGTAAAGTACATATTTAGTACCTAACCTATCAATTTTGATCCATTTTGTACCTAAATTCCCAATTTATTTAAAGTCATACCCAACTATTAGTTTTGTTTTATTTTAGTACCCGCTGTTAAAAACTTAACACGTTTAGTTCCTAAACTATCAATTTTGATCCGTTTTAAGGTTTAAACTTTCAATTTATAAAAAAGTACGCATAAAAAATTAATTTAAAATATAAATTGGAGACTTATTTTTATATTAAACCCTAAAAGAAAAATGGTAGAGTCCACGGGGTTAGAGTCCTCAATTTCGTTCCAGCTAGTCATTTTATCATACAGCTGATGTGCATATCAGCTAATCTGTCGGTAAATACTATCATACCACGTATTTGCACGACCTATTTTTCATGTACATAAATGAGTTGGCAGTAAGGGCAATTATGAATATATTACAAACCATGTGATTATTTAAATAATGAAGGTATTAAATTAGGTTAATATATTATTTTGTTTATGTTATATTTTAATATATATATATTTTAAATATTTAAATAAATAACGTGAAAAACGATTAATAAATAATTAGTTCACTTGGTCCAAGACACGTGATTCTAGGACAGTGGATCTCTTTCGCCGGCGATCTTGGGCATTAATTACAATACAATGACCCAGATGCATTCAGAAACGGCATCGTTTCATTCTTTCAAGGCACTCTCGTCCCTGGCCCGCGAAAAGATCGGGTTTTCGATCGACCCGAATCAATTCGATTCAAGAAGTATATCCTCTCCACTTAAATTGGTTTTAATTTAGAATTTGATAAAATAACGATCTAATTAAAAAAAATCAGAGAGAGAATATTATAACAATTATATCTAAGTATATTAAAAATTACACTGGACTTTATCATATCGATTCGAGTCAAAACTCGTTAAATTCGAATTAAATGATCATTTCTATTAACTTTCTTCAAATGGGACACTTCACATTTTTCAGTTTCCACCTGAATATATGTATTAATTATAAATATGTAATGAATTTTTTTTAATATACGAATAGGGTAAAATTTGATTTTACGACTTGATCTATTAGAATGTTTATAATTAAAATCACATTTTATGATTTAAAGTTTAGTGTTTAAAAGTTAAAATGTAAGGTTAAACACTTTAGATTTATGAATTTAATATTAAAATAAATGAAATTATAAAGTAACTTATACATTAATGTATAATAAATGTATATATTAATTGATTATTTAAATATTTTTAAAATAATATAAACATTTTTAAAATTATAAAGTCTAAATTTTAATATATTTCTGTGTTCGTATTGAAATATGAGCTGAATTCAAGTTTTTTTAATTCCCGGAAAGTTCTACGGTGCGGCAGCCTTAATATATGGTTAAAATAAGGTGTTATCGGTTTTGTTATTATTATTTTTAACAAAATTGATAAAAAAAAATTACCTAAAACATTATTATTTCTACCGGTTTTGTTATTATTGTTAATTACCGGTGTTGGTAAAAGTAGTTGGTAAAAAAATAATATTTTAGGTAGCACTTTACCGGATATGTTACTAAAATCGGTAAAGCGTCTAATAATAATAAAATCAATAAAAATAATAATGTTTTAGGTAAATTTTTTATCGATTTTATTAACAAAAATAATACCGATAACAAAATTTTAACCGTATATTAAGATCGTCTCACGTGTTCATTTCCCACTATTCCCACTACTGCTTCACTCTGTTTGCTGTGTTTTTTTTTCCTTTTAAATTCCCCTATAAACAAACGTGCTATATCAAATATTAATTTTTTAAATTCCCAATGAATTTTGACTTGAATCTGAATCGAGAATAATAATTTTTTATGCATTTTAAGCTTCACGTTACATCAAGTCAAATGTTTTTAATATTAATTGAGTGCCGATAAAAATATACTCACATGTAGAAGAAAAAAATTAGTAACATTAAATTAAAATTTATTTTAAGATAAGGTTGGATCGTAATTAAATTTTGGGTAAAGTATACGAATGATCCCCGACTATAAAGTACTATTTTGTTGAGTCTTTTGGTTATTAAAAGTTATAAAATGGTCCTCGAACGATAGAGAGTTACTTTGTTAAATCATTTGACAACTAAAAGTTACAAAATGATCACTCGACTATTCATATGTTTTAAACTCGTCAATTTTCGTTAAAAAATTGACGGTCATGTGAGTTGGACGTTAACCTATTGACTAGGATATGATATAATAGGATCTCATATTTTTTTTAAGTTGTATTTTTTGGATCGACTATTTTTTACATTATGTTGTTGAGCTAGTGCTTGGAAGTAACTACGGTACTAGTAGCCACCATTTAAATATGATTTTATTATATCCAAATCAACAGGTTAACGTATAGCTCTAACGACCATCAATTTTAACGAAAAAGAATGAGTTTAGAATATATGAATAGTCGGATGACAATTTTTTTACTTTTAATAATCGAATGACTTAACAAAATAACAAATGAGACTATGTAACTTTAAATAGTTGAGGGACTAAACAAGGTAACATTATATAGTCGGGGACTATGTACTTTAACCTTAAATTTTATTATAAAGTACACAAATAGTCCCTTAGCTATAGGGTACTACTTTATTAAGTCCCTCGACTATTGAAAGTTATAAAATGGTCCTTTAACTATAGAATGTTGCTTTGTTGAGTCTCTTGGCTATCAAAAGTTATAAAATTGTCATTCGACTATTCATTAAGTTTCAAACTCGTCTTGTTTTCATTAAAAAATGGACGATATTCTAAGTTAAACTTTAGCATGTTGATTGTGATATAATAAAAGATAGTCTCATAATCTCAAACGACTATCATATCACAATCATCATGGTAACATTCAACTTAAACAATCATCAATTTTTTAACGAAAAATGACGAATTTGGAACATAATGAATAGTTGGGTGATATTTTGTAACTTCGAATAGTCGAAGGGCTTAATAAAGTAGATCCTATAATTGAGGGACTATTTTTATAGTTTACCCTAAATTTTATTATAATAACATCGAATGGAATTTAGATCCTCGAAATTCAAGCCTGTATACAACTGAGGAGTCCGATAATATATATATATATATATATATATCAGCTAGCTTCTTTAAATTAGAACATAGCCTGGGAATCATCGAAAGCCATGTCTTTGCTTAGAAGAAGACGATGCCCTTTCAGTGAAAACTCGAAACCCCAAAAGAAAACATATGAGACCATCGCCGGCGGCTACGGCTGTTTCAGCGATGAAAACAAGAGGAAAACCCCATTAAAGACCGTCAAGCACGGCGATGAACCGCCGCCGGCGAAGGGTTCAAGGTTGGACACGTGGTTTTGGTTGATGGGTTGCGTTTGCGTCACGTGGTGGTTCTTCTTGTTCCTTTACAGCGCAGTGACGGCTTCGTTACCCGAGTACGTGATGGAGGCGATTGCCGGGCCGTTGCCGGACCCGCCTGGCGTGAGGATGAGGAAACAAGGGTTGATGGTGAAGCATCCGGTGGTTTTTGTTCCGGCACCGATGACCGGCGGACTTGAGCTTTGGGAAGGACGGAAATGTGCTCAAGGATTGTTTAGGAAGCGGGTTTGGGGTGGCACTTTCAGTGAAGTTTACAAGAGGTAACATATTTTTGGGTAAATTTCACAAATGATCCACCAACTATAAGACGTTTCTTTTTTGAGTCCCTAAACATCCTATATTTTTTTCTACTTTTTGGCAGCTATAATCTTTGGGTAAACTTAGTAATAGATCATTAAACTATATTCAAATGTTCTTTTTGTCTATAAAACTTTTATAAATTACAAAATGGTTATTAGATTAATCAAATTGTTAAAAATTCTCATTGAAATGTTACAAAGCAATCATTGAATTTATCAAAATCATTATAATATAATGATTATATTTTTATAATAGATCGATAAATTTAATGGTTATATTGTAACTTATGAACGTTCATTGATTAGAAAGCTCAATTGACCATAGTTAAGTGACCTCTAGTGTAGTTACCCCAATATTTTGAGTTACTTTTGGGTAAATTTAGGTTTGCTATATTAAAACTTGTGATTTAATATTTACAATTTAATGTGATCCTCTATTTTTTTTTACAGAGTTACCAGTAAGTGATTGTAGTTTTATAACAATTCGCTAAATTTAATTAGCAATCTTTTTTTATTAGACAATTTTTAAAAATGTCAAAATTGTATTTAAATGTCAATATTTTAAACACAGTCGTCAATACCATCAGTTAATTAAACTAACTGAAATATTATAAATAATTAAATTAGAATAAAACTGAATTATAAAAACCTTAAATTTTTGTAAAGGGACCAAATAATAATTTAACCATAAATGTAGAGGTTTTGAGAAGAAGAAAGTGGTCCTTTTTATTCAAATGCTGCTTTCATGGTTGTTTATTGATTTAGTACGACAGTTATTTATGATTTATTATTGGTTTTTAAGGTTTTATGGTCATCTGATGTGGTAAAACTAACAACCTAACTAAAGGACCGGGATCGGGTTGGAAATTAATCAATTTTTATTTCATTTTAGTCCTTTCTATGGATATTGATTTTATTTATAATTATGTTTTTTTTTTGAAAAATTACAATAATAATTAGTCCTTCTCAGGAAATCGATGAATTTTAATTTAATTTTGTAAGGTTTTTTTTTCGAGATGAATTTTGTAAATAATTTTATATTTTTTAAATATATACGAAAATAATATATATTTCATATATATGATAGGAAAATACACTAAACTATGGGAATGTAACAAGGACGACAATCTAATTTAAGGTTAAGAAACGTCAGGAATGAACGCAACTTAAAATGTTACTAACTTTTTCTTATCATTTTTTTATTGCACATATTCTTTGTAACATTTTCGATTCAGCAGAAATATTAAAAGGTTAATATTTTATGTTGCGTTCAACAAGAATGTTATGTTTTTTACGACATTTTCGGTTGCGCTCATTCCCTGTCGTTTCTTAACCTTAGATTAGACTGCCGTACAACGGAACTTCCCTTAAACTATACACGTGTCGGACATAGATGTCGGAGTAAAATAGATGTTCGGTACTCGTGTCCCGAACTTAGATGTAAAGATGTGACCAGGGATTTTCTAAATGTATGAAATAACGAGACGTTGTACAACAATTTAATTTAAGATTAAGGAACGGAATGAAATAGACGAAACTGAAAATGTTATAAAAAACATAACATTATTGGTTGAGTGCAACTTAAAATCTAATCATATCCGTATCTAATGTCTTTATGCAGACCTCAATGCTGGGTTGAGCACATGTCATTGGATAGTGAAACTGGTTTGGATCCAATTGGTATACGAGTGAGACCTGTGTCCGGACTAATGAGTGCCGATGACTTTGCTTCAGGCTATTTTGTGTGGTCGACTCTGGTTTCCAACTTAGCACGCATCGGATACGAAGAGAAAACCATGTACATGGTTGCCTACGATTGGAGACTCTCGTTTCAAAACACCGAGGTAAATCGTATTCCAGAACTCGATTTTTGTTAACGTAATCGAGAAGCGAGTTAAATGGACGTCGTGAATTGATCGTCTTTTGGATAATCAGGTACGGGATGGGACGTTGAGCAGCATCAAGAGTCATATAGAACGGATGGTAGCTACTAGCGGGGGACAAAAGGCTGTTATTGTTCCACATTCCATGGGAGCTCTATATTTCCTGCATTTCATGAAGTGGGTCGAAGAACCGGCCCCGATGGGCGGAGGCGGCGGACCCGATTGGTGTTCTAAGCATATTAAGGCTGTGGTTAACATTGCCGCACCGTTTCTTGGTGTTCCGAAAGCTGTTTCCTTGCTTTTCTCGGCTGAAGCCAAGGATGTTTCGGTTGCCAGGTACGTAACACTCGAACTCGGGTGTGAATGTTCGACATATACACATACATATAGGTAATGTTTCATTAGAGTTGCACTAAAATGAAACCAAAATGCAGGGCTATTGTACCTGGATTTCTTGAGAACTATATATTTCAACATCAGACATTGCAACATGTGATGAGGCTGAGCCGTTCTTGGGATTCGACCATGTCGATGATACCGAGAGGTGGCAACACCATATGGGGTGGTCTAGATTGGTCACCGGAGGAAGGCTATCCTTGTGGCCGGAAAAGAGAAACGAAAAACGGCACCTGGATCATGGATCGAGCTCGTGTTAAAAGTATTGTTTCACAAACAAGAAGTGCAAATTATGGAAGGATAATATCCTTTGGCAAAAATGTTGCTGAGGCACCTTCTTATGGTATTGAGAGAACAGATTTCAGGGTAATTTACTTTCTTGTGTTTGATGATTACAGATTCGGATTTGGACTGCGAATTTATATCACTCGGTTCTTCGAAACCATGTCCGAATTTACTCTGATTTCATGCTCATGTTTAGGGTGCTGTTAAGGGTCATGGTGCTGCAAATCAGACTTGCAGAGATTCGTGGACCGAGTACCACGGCATGGGGTTCGAAAGTATCAAAGGTGTTGCAGATTATAAAGCTTACACTGCTGAATCAGTTGTCGAACTTCTTCGTTTCGTTGCACCGAAAACGATGGCACGCGGTGCTGCTCATTTCTCGTATGGAATCGCCGATAACTTGGATGAACCTAAATATAAACACCACAAGTATTGGTCGAACCCCCTGGAAACGACGTGAGAATCCGATAACTACGTCCCCTTCCTCCATCGGATATTTGTTCTTCGGCTAATTGATTTAATTAATGCCATTTGTGGACATACATTCACTGTCACTATGCTGTGCAGGTTGCCAAATGCTCCTGAAATGGAAATCTTTTCTTTCTATGGAGTCGGTCTACCGACCGAAAGAGCATATGTTTATAAGTTATCTTCTGCTGCCGAGTGTTACATTCCGTTTCGGATAGATACATCCACCGACGATGAAGCGACCTGCTTGAAGGACGGTGTGTATTCCGTGGAGGGGGATGAGACCGTACCGGTTATAAGTGCCGGTTTCATGTGTGCCAAAGGTTGGAATGGTAAAACCAGATTCAATCCTTCAGGAATTCGAACATATATTCGGGAATACCGTCATTCTCCGCTGTCGAAGCTACGGGAAGGACGCGGCACCCTTAGCGGAGCTCACGTCGATATAATGGGAAATTTTGCCTTAATCGAGGATGTCATGAGGATCGCGGCCGGAGCTTCGGGCGAGGAACTGGGAGGGAATCGAGTTCATTCCGATATCTCCAAATGGTCCGAGAAGATCAACTTGCAATTATAAGCCTGCACTGGTGCATACCGTACCCTGCAGGCTGCATTATATTCCCACTTCGAATCCTCCGTTCAGTACACTCGAATTCGATGGCGCTAATCGATCTTGTTAGTTCAATAAGGACTCCCGAATCGTCATAAACCGATTTCCCGACCATTTTTGTTTCTAAGCTTCGACTGGTTTGGAAATTTTTTCAACCATGATAATCTGTCTAAGAAACTGTTCTTATCAATTGTATCAAAACATTCTTTTGAAGCCCTAAACCGAAACGAATCCTCGGTTATGTAAATTCGGATTCGACGTCATTTATCGATATCGTTAGTTCAATGAGTTCTCCTAATTTTCATTTTAGAGAAAAAAAAAAAACAACTTCCAAGTTCATTATGTTCTTGGCTGGGTTATAATATGTTTCCAAGTTCATTTATCGGTTATAATTTCTTGCACGTACATGTGTTGGAGATTGTAAGTTTATCATCTGGTGTAATTTTTTTTATTTTCTTTATTCTAATTTGATTTGATTTTACTATTCATTAATGCTTTTTTAAGGCATCGTCCAACTACGTTAAAAAAGGGTAAAGTACACAAATAGTCCCTTGGCTACTAAAAGTTATAAAATGGTCCTTCAACTATAGGATGTTGCTTTATTGAGTCCCTGACTGTTAAAAGTTACAAAATAGTCACTCAACTGTTAGTATGTTCCAAACATGACCTTTTCCATTAAAAAATTGACAATATCTTGAGCTGGAATGTTAATATGTTTATTGAGATAAGATATTTTTTTAGATTATAGGATTATATTTTATCATATCTTAGTCAGCAGGTTAACATCCAACTCAGATTTTCGTCGATTTTTTTAATGAAAAATGACAAGTTTGGAACATATTAAAGAGTCATGTGACCATTTTATAACTTTTAATATTCAAGGGACTCAACAAACATCAAACTATAGTCAAGGAACTATTCATATACCTTACCCCAAAAAAGTAGATTTGGATATAGTAAAGTACATTAAAGGTTATTGAACTATGTTCAAATAATTGTTTTAGTCATTAAACTTTCAAAAAGTTATAAAAATAAGTTTTAAATTTATTAATAAGTTATAAAATAATCACTAAATTTTATAGCATCGTTACAAAATAATCATTAATTTATTAAACTATTATAAATTTATCAAAATTTAACAATTATTATATATCGCACTAATAATTTTATAACAATTTCATAAATTTAACAATCATTCAATAATCTTTAAAAATACAATGCTAAATCGATGATTTGAGCATAACTAACCTATGTTTTTCACCCTTTGAATTATTATCAGAAAGAGGACAAAGAATGGCAAATGACCAATAGGAGAATAGGACCTACGTTATTAACATAATCCTGGGCATGGATGATCTACCATTTCTCCAATCATAAAACTATTTTGAGTAAATTATGAATTTAATACTTAAACTATCAGTTTTGATCTGTTTTAATATCTAAGTTTTCATTTTTTTAAAATCATATCAAACATTTAATTTTTGTTTCATTTTAATACATGCCACTAAAAACTTGACAACACTGTATTTTTATAGGTAAATTATATCATTAATCACTCAACTATCTTCTTACTCCTATTTTGATACTTAAGTTTAAACATTTTCAATTTAACTAGTCAACTTTCAAATTGTTCCTTTTTAATCACTTTAATTTATATTATTATCACAAACTAAGCGACATCGACGGTAAATAAATTGTTGTTGTTCCTTAAGGTCCCAGGTTTGAGCACCATGAATGCTAAGGATGTGAGCGTTCATTGTCAAATGTTTTGAGAGTTATATTTGAACAAATACTACCTTGTACTTACCCAAATTAATCAAAAAAATTATTTCATAAATAACTTTTGTGACATGATTTTTTTTTATTATTTTATTAATATATAATTCAAAAAAAATTAAAAGTTAGAGTGGTTAAATTAGGAGTAAATTGAAAGTGAAGTAATTGAATTAAAAAAATAAACTTTAGTGACTAAAATAAGAGAGAAAAGACAGTTGAATAATGTAATTCAACTATAAAATAGGTGTCACGTGCAAATCAACCATTAAGTTAAGTTTTTAATGGAGATGTACTAAAACGAAATAAAAGCTAAACAGTAAGCATGATTTTAAAAAATTGAAAATACGTAGTTTATCACATAATTTACTCCTTGTATATATAATGTATATATTCGTCTTCGCATCTTCCCTTCTTCCTTAATAAAAAAAACCTTTTTTTTGAAACTCCCCTTTCTCTCGCTTGATCGCATCGAGAGCTCTCCTCCTCGCCGCTTGTCTTTCGTGCTTCGATCCCCTCTCTCTCTCTCTTACCCTGAAAACCCCAACTCACTGATTCACAATCCTTCCTCCCAACTCGGATTACCCGCCGCTTTCATCCGCCCGTATTATCGATTAATCAAGTTTTCTAAGGCAAGGATCGCTTTTCCCCTCCCACTTTCATTCATTGATTTCTTTTTATTTATTGTTGAAAAATCCGGATGCGAATGCATTTAGCAGTTATATTTTAGGGTTACTCAGTGTATATTTCAAAATTTCATTTAGGGTTTTGGACATGGAAGTTTCATATTGCTGTAAATTGGTCTTCTTAATCTGTAAACTCTGTAAATGACGTTTATTTTGCATTTGCTTTGCTGTTGATTTTTAATAAAACATGCAACCGTTTCAGACATTAGCCCAACTATTGTCAATAAACAGGGTCTAATATCCTTCACAAATTGATTAAAGGCACTGCTGTTTATGTGAAAATTTTCTTGCAACAATTGTGCTATATTCTCAGTCAATCATTTTGTGCAGTTTACAATATCGTGCTTAATGCAGTTTATTTTACGTTAAACTAACCTGGATTTTTTAGACTAGAAAATAAGGAATTTACGCTTTAGCTACTGTTTTCATTCTTGATATGGGAGCTTTGTTGCCTCTGTAGTTAACCTGTTGGATGTACGTGTCAATATATTTTTCTAGTAACATATTTAAGTAGATAAGGATCTGCCTCTTATGTGTTCTAAATAAATGATGATTTATGCATATATAACCAGTAGAATAGGCGAAGATGGACCATTGACAGCAGTTAATCCTAGAGGTTTATGCTACATTTATAGGTGGAAAGTTTTAGATTAGCAATATGAGGATGTTTTTTTTTTGTTAATGCTACATTTATAAGCAGGAAGTTTTAGATTAACATCGGGAGCCCTGAAATTTTAACATTGGTGTGGCTATGCAGAAAAAGTCACAATTTTGCAAATCTGAACACATGTATGGGTTTCATGGAACAATGGGAAGATGGAGGAGATCTTCCATTCCGTTGCATTAACTTTAGATTTAATGGTTTCCTGGTTTCTAAAACTACTTGAGTGTTTTTAAATTAAAAATCCTGAATTTGAAAATTTTAAGTGTTAATGTTTTATTATTGGATCTTAGAAGCTTGAGTTTATACTAAAAACTTACTCTATAGGAGCACTTTTTTCCTTCTGAGATGAATATCCCACAAGCACTGTTGCCCAAATCTTCTGCTAATGGATTTCCCCGTCGAAGAGGTGATAGAGAGGGTGGGGCTAGGTTGGAGAATAAGGTGCAGTCGGGAAAACCTAATCAGGGAAGAATTCAAACTTCAGGTGAACATTCTCTTACATGAATTTCTTATTATTGAACTATTTTCCTGATCTAATTTACTTGGTATAGCTGAAGTGGCTGGTGGGAAGGCTGGACGATGTGAGAGTTCTTCCCGTGATCGGCTAGTTTTTCTCACAACCTGTCTCATTGGGCATATGGTGGAAGTTCATGTGAAAAATGGATCAATTTACACTGGAATATTTCATGCAACTGATGCAGAAAAGGATTTTGGTATTGTATTTCTTTTTTTTTTCCATATTAATTATGCAACTGTAATTAGTTTGATAATTTTAGCTTTGTTCACGTAGAACTCGTATGCGAATAAAGTGAACTTTGAAAAATGATTCATCTTCTTAACATCCACTCTGTTACAACTTCAGGAATAATCTTGAAAATGGCTCGCATGATAAAGGAAGGTACTTCGCAAGGAAACAAGCCTGTTACCGAGTTTGTTAGCAAGGCACCCACAAAGATTTTGATTATACCTGCCAAAGAACTTGTGCAAGTTATTGCAAAGGTTTTGCTAATTTTCCTATCTTTAGAGTTCCATCCCTGGTCGAGTTGCCAGTAAGAGATGAATTGTCAAGTAGTTTATGGGGGGCTTTCTAAATACTGGTAGTCTGTTTCAGTTAGATCATTGTGAATGAATAGTTAAAACTTGGTTAAAAAATATTTCTATTTTTTTATCTTTTATTTCTTCAGTATTAATTTGGTTTTACTTTAATTGATTTCAGGATGTGGCTGTAACCAGTGATGGATTTGCAAGTGAGCTCCAGCATGAAAAACATCAGGAACTTTTGATAGATTCTGTGATATCACAATCCCGTCATGTTGGGATGGAGAGAGAATTGGAGCGTTGGGTTCCTGACGAAGATGTCCCACAGTGTCCTGAGCTAGAAAATATTTTTGGTGGCTCGCGGAATAGGTTACAATCATGTTCTCTCCTTTCAAAAATATGTTTTGTGATAGCTTTTCTGTTCCAATTTCTTCATCCCACTTGCATCTAATTTGTTTTTGTTATTTGACTTATTTCCACTCGATCTCCATTTTTATATATTAGATTCATTTGTTTTCAGTTGTCTTGCTTGGTTATTTCCCATCAATAAATTTGTTTCGAAAATAGATGTCAGAGAGTTCAAGATGTGGTGTTTTTTAATGGTTTTAGTATTGAGAGAATCAAGGATCTCAACTAAAACACGATTTCTACTTTGATATTTGATTCTGTGAGATTAGTTTAATATGGAAATGCAGGTTGAGATTTAATATGTCATGTTAATCTAGTATGACAAGTTTGTTTTTTGCTATCCCCTGTAGTTTTGTTGCAACAACCAGGCAGATCCTGGTTCTGTTGTCAATGTTAGAATGTTGGTGAGCTTAAAAGAGAGGACATACGTTGCATTAAAACAAAAAAAGTTCACAGCAAATCTTTACTTTCGACAATCATTATGTGTTTTTCCTGTTTTTTTGGGTAATATCTGTAGCATTTATCTTTTTCTTATTAACGTTGTATTTAATATACTCAATTAATTGCATTATTAGGAACTGGGATCAGTTTGAAACCAATCAAAAGTTGTTTGGTGTACAAAGTACTTTCAATGAGGAGCTTTATACAACAAAACTTGAGAGAGGTCCTCAAACGAGAGAGTTGGAGAAGGAAGCAATGAGAATAGCAAGAGAGAT